ATTAAAATAGTTGCTAAGTGAAATTGCAACAGTGCTTAAAATCTTAGTTCGGCTTTCTTTTGCCTCTGATGATTTGTCATAAATTCATTTTTTATCAACATTGTAACTGAACAGTCAGTAAATGAAATAGTTGTTAAACAAGGACCAACTGTATATTATTGCTACAATAATAATATAAATGGGATGGATAGCTGGCATATAGATGAATGAATGAGGATTGCTGTGTGAAAAAGAAGAAAGATGAAGGCAAAGGACATACTTGTGAAGCACATAAAAATAAGTTACAGGAGGCTTTATAGTAGGTAATCTTCCAATTCCACACTATTTTTTCTTTTTATTGATTGTTTTTCTCCTCTAATTTGATCTCATTAGGAAATCAGCATATGCTCCAAATGCCATTGTCAGAAATATCTCAACAAATAGAATTCTAGTAACTGATATTTTGTTTTTATTTAAACCGTTTTTTTTCTGTATGCACTGTATTACTTGAAACTTCTTAAATGTTTATTTTAAATGAAACACTAAACCATTTGATGCCACTTGATGGCAGTAAAGTCTTGTAGCATTTTTGTAAAAACTAAAAACAACTTCGTGTTGTAGCCTCCTGATAGATCTGCTTTATGACAAAGAATAGAACATTAATAAATAGAAAATCAATATTTTATTATATTTAAACGTTTACATATTAACATAGTCACTTTAACCAAGAAGCAAAAGTTTTGTTTGGCATGATCAGTCTTTAACAAACACATGCTGGCTCTAGTAATCACTTTGTTCCTTTCTAGGTGCTCACAAATTCACTGCTTGATTATCTTTTCCAAGATTTTCGCAGTTATTGATGTTGATTGGTCTGTAGTTTCCTAGATCTTCTTTTTTTCTCCCTTTTTGAAGGTTGGGATCATATTAGTTTTTTTTCCAGTCCTCTAGCAGTGTAAACCATGGTCCTAAAATCCAAAGTTGTCTCAATGGCACCATCTCTTGAGTAGGCAGTTTTCCTCTAGAATCATCCATTCCTTCATTGGGTGTTGATCTTCCATTGGAAATATGGATGAAAATACTACCTATGTTCCTAAACTCTTTTGCCTTCCTGCCTAACTGCTCATAATCCTTTGATATTTTTTCAGGGTCTTTTTTGTTGTATTGTTTGTCCCAACATGAAAGAAATAGTAATCAGTTGGCTTGATTGATTGGGTAAGCCATCTGCACCTGACAGACAACATACTTCACTAGATTGCTCAGTCTACAAATTGCTGATAGTGTTTGTTTGAGAAGTGAGTAGCCAATCACTACCATGCCCTTTTCTCTTTGGGGAATCTAGAGGACTCCTCTTCTCTGTGACAGTTGATGAAGAAAGGGTCTGCCTATTTTATTCCAAGGGGAAGATATGAAATCGATTTTCAGTTCCAGTGACAGAGATAGTTCTTTATATATTTTTGTCCTGTTCTATCATCTATCTATCTATCTATCTATCTATCTATCTATCTATCTATCTATCATCTATCTATCTACCTATCTACCTATCATCTATCTTTATATTCTATCTCTATCTCTATCTATCATCTATCAATATATTCTATAGCTATCTATCATCTGTACATACATACATACATATATACATACATACATACATACATACGCTATGTCTATTTATCTATTATCTATCTATCAATCATGTATTATCTCTATCTATCATCTATCATCTATTATATCTGTCTATCTATCTATCTATCTATCTATCTATCATCTATCATCTACCTATCTATCATCTATCTAATCGGGTTTTTTAGCTGCTATCTTAATATTTTTCCCATCTGTGCAGAATTTCCTACCTTTCTGCATTCAGGAAGCTGATATGTACTGGAGGCAATAGAGGTCCCCTACTGTTGCTACATAGCAGTATTTGAAGTATTGATAATCTAGTACAAAGGTGGACTACCTTCAAGTTGATTAGATCTATGCACTTTGTTTCCTAAAATTCCAAGTTCAGCCAACAAGAGTCAACCAGTACAAGAGTCAATAAACAATCCTAGAATTATACAGCAGGATATATTTCAATTCAGGAATTATTTTTCAACGTTACATCAACTTTTTATACAAAAATCAATTTTCAGCTACCTCAGAGTTTAGTTGTTAATAATATTCACATTTAAAAATTTAAATTGAATTTTGTGTTCTATGTTTTAATTGTTGTTAACTGCCTTTAATATCAACTGAATATAAAAGTGGAGAATCAATCAAATAAATATTTTTTCTTTATAAAGCATCCTACTTTAGTTGGAAAAAGAAAATACATGTTATTCTATTCAGAAAAATGTGGGCAAAGAACTTGCCTGTGATGGACAACAGCAAGATACCTCTGTAGTATCTAATTTGCTTCCCTTGTTTTTATAGAAGTCACAATAAGCATATTACTGAAGCCTTCAGGCATCTCCTCCATATTATTTTCCAAATATTTTCTTTGGAAATATTTTCCAAAGTGTCTTGGGATGCTTGCAAGGTGTTTGTCTCTAGTGCTTTATAGATAGGATTTATTGTTGCTGTTGTTTTCTAAGCTTGCCCTCCAGGATACTATTCTTGAATACTGGACTTCCCCTGTTCAATGCTTTATTTGTTTTCACTACAGTTGTTTGAACAGTTTGAATATACACAATTGTATCATAGCATTTATATGTTATTTATATGTTATAGCAAAGGATTATGGTAGTTGTTCCAGTACAATCCAGAATAAATATGTATAACTGTCAGCACTTATATTTCCACTATGCTATTATTTATCACCATTCAGGGAATAGACCTGTTACACGAACTTCATTAGATTCAGTCAAATAAGGGATGAAGGTCTTTGAAACTCTAGTGCAATGTGAGCAGTGCAGTGTAACTGTGAATCTAGGTGATCAGCATGTAATTTATCTATGGAATAGCTGAGAAAATATTTATAGCAATAACTTTATAGGCTGATAAGGATAAGGGAGAGTGTGCTCAAGAGGAGAGCGACCAGTGGGACTCTGTGCTGGGGCACTCCTTGCCAGCATGCCAACTTGCCAGTCTGCTTTTCTGCTGGTGCAAAAGCTTGGTGAGTGAGTGAGTGCAGGAGATCTAGGGTTGGGTTGGCCCAGATACCAGTAGTAGCAGGATCCACCCATGGGGAGCAGAGAAGGAGATAGGGGAAAGGAAAAGTTTATTTTTTAATGTGAATATACATAACTACACATAAAATGAATGTAATAATTTTGTAATTTCTGGCCTATATTTGAACCTAAATATTCATTTCCTTAAGCCAGAAAACTATTTTAAGGGTTCCACCGGGCTCAGAAGGCTGATTTATAGTCTTATACATTTTGAAATGTCATACTTGGCCAACTGGTCCAAAGATTGGAGATATAAATGATTTGTTAGACATATGTTGATACCAGAAAGATAAAGTTTCCCTGGTCACATGGTGTTTATTTTTGGGATTTGTGATCATTAATGACTAACAGATGGATTGCTATGCAAAATTATATTTTTTGTTAGATTGAATATTCACCAAAGAACAGGTTGAACTCCTTGATATGAAACATGTCTTAATAATGTTAATCCCGTTGCATTCAAAAATTTTACTGCACTTTAAACATTATTACTTAGAAATAACAACCCTTAAGCAAGCTTGGATAGCTTCAAAATAGAGCCTTATGAGTGGTATAATTAAAACACATCATTTTTGCTATACTGATCCACTTTTGTCTCACACTTTTCTATAAATTTTGCCATATAAGTTTAAGGAATGGAAGGAAATGTATTTTTAAAACATGTTTCTAACTCTTTAAATTATCTTGGGTTGTATTCTGAGCAACAGGAAATATACAGAAAAAGTAAAGGACAAAGTTGGCAAAAGCCATTATAACATGGAAAACTATATTAGCATTCCTTCTAACAAATGGATTATAAATAAAACACTGGAATTTTTATTTATAATAAAAATCAACTTAGCAAGGTAACTCACTAACATTTTCTTCACTAAATTTCCTCTTCCCTGTCCAAGTAAATGTTATTTAGTTTGAAGTGACTGAATATTAAATGCTTCTAGTTTTGTTTTCCCAAAATGGTTCAGTTAAGAATTGCAATTCAAAGCTTTCTGGAGGGTATCAGATTAGGAGAAGGTCACTGAAAGATCATGATAAACTATATAATTATTCTAAGAAGGTGAGCAATTGTACTTTTATTTCACATTTTATTTGATAGCGATATTGGTGCAAACAATTCTTATTTCAATACTTTCTCAGTCTGCATGGCATGTCTTTTTCCAGGGTTCATGAATTAAGGAAGATCATGGAGAACCCTTCACCCAAGAAACCTCTCCATTTTGGCAATACAGTTGTAAAAGAATTATGTATTTGAGTACTCTAATCCCTGGAAAAGATGATGCAGCAATTCTTCTTGAATAATACCACACACTCAAAACAAAACAAAAGATTGGCCAAATTAGCAAAGCTGTTGGGAGAGTTGAACATTCAGTGTAATCAAGGAGGTACCACAATGCAGCATTTTAAGTATGGGAATAATAAAACAAAATTATTTTGTTAGTTGCAGATGAATACTTCAGTCTATTCATCTTCTTGTATAACTATGAACAGTGTTTATAATATAATGGGACATGGTCATGAAATAATATGAGAAGGAATAGTGTTGATGCAGCAGAAAAACAAATCCCTACTCAACAGAATTTATCAGAGCAGCATGACTGTTTGTAAGAAAAATATCTTGGATCTCATGTCAGACTATATTCATGAACTGGAATTGAGCTTAGTAACAAAATCAGCCAATGAGAGCTGAGTTGAGGGCTGAAACTTAAAGAGAGAATCTGGGCGTTGTTTCTCTCTGTTCTGTGCTCAGCTCTAAAGTGAAAGAGAAACTAACTTGCTTGCTTGCTGAAACCTAGAGCTCTGCTCTGAACCTGAAACCTGTCTGGTTCTGTTTGAGTTTGCTCCATGTTGGAGAAATCTACAACTGGCATTGTAAAATTTATCTATTATGTTTATAAAGAGGTTAAATGAAGCATCAGCCATCTGTGTTTATTTTTCTGGCACTGAATTTACGCTGCAAAACTCTGAACATCTCATACATTAATATAAAGTTACTTGTCATTATTTCAGATTCCTGTATGGAAAGCAATCCAATTTCGATAGTAAGTAACTCGTGTATAGACTCCAGGTTTATTTGGCTTAGCACATTCATCTCCCCAGCTTACTATGCCAACAAGGTACCATATACCTCTGGAATCAGATGTAACCAATGGTCCACCAGAATCACCCTAAAAGGGATGGAAGATCACTTTAGAAAGACCAGGAGAAAAATCTATAGCATATAGAATCATATGATAAATAGATCTGTTTTATCAAACATGATACCATCTAAAATTATTTCCCTTGACATAAGAGCTTTTTAGAGGGAGATATAATAGGGTCATCTGAAGACCATTCTCTCCCTCCTGCCTCCTAAGCCTTCATAGCTAGACTTACTTCCAACTTTAAGGGTTTTAAAATACAAATTAATATAGAAATGGAATAAAATAAATAAAGCAATAAAAATAAAGACCACATATTTCCCATCCTTTCCCATTCTTAGCTTCCCCATTCCTTTCCCCCAGATTTTCCACCATAACCCTAGAACTGCAAAAAAAATGGCCATCCACATTTTGTATCTCCTAGATCACCTCTTTTTAAAAATATTTTTAAAAATTCTGCCTTTATTTTTTATGAATTACTCAAGGTAGCTAATATACATAATACTTTTTTGTTCTATTTTCTCCTGTGAAGTAGATTGGGCTAAGTCATGATAACTGGCTCAAAATTACCCAGATGGCCTTCATGCCTTAAGGCAGGACTAGAACTCCTAATTTCCTATTTTCTTGGTCAGCATCTTAAATACTACACCAAACTGGGTTTTTAAAAAAATCTAAATCTCTGTTACTTAGTTATAGAAAAGGCAGTGTATAAATAAGTGGATTTTGCACCAGCACAAAAATACTCTCAAATTATAATATATGCAGGAACCCTTTGCTGATTTCTAGTAGGTATACTATTATACCTACCTGACAAGCGTCACTTCCTCCTTCCAGGTATCCAGCACAAAGCATTCCAGATGAAATGGCTCCATTATACACTGTTCTTTTGTTGCAAATTTCATTACCTATAATTTTCACTTCTGTTTGTCGAAGTTCACGAACACTGGGACCTGATTTTCAAATAATAATGGAGTATTTTACCCATGAAAATTCACTATCAGGTTATAAAGTAGCACAACCACAAAGCACATATGATCTGTGATTTCATCCATAGTATCAGAAATCCTCAGAAATGGATAGATTGACATTGAAAATTAAACAGAAAGAAGATGTAGAATATTATCAAACATGGAATCTATTTTACCAATGGTTGTAAAAAAGGGATGGAGATTAAGAATGTAAATTTGTATTATTAAGCACATTAAATACCCAGACAACACAATGTTTTTAAGCACTAAGAAATGTATTTAATAGAAAATCAATTAAAAAACAGGAGAAGAAATCCTTTAAATTCTATTCCTTTAAAAGATAAAGATATTTCTGTGATAATTTAGCCTTCTACAATACATTATTGAAACTCAGAACATGGTACAAGCAGTCACTTTCCTATACTCCAGTTGACTAACAGGAAAGAAAAAAATCATCTCGCAGAAATAGTATCATTCTTATTCATTCTCTGGGCAGGGGATAACAAAATTGCCTCACACTACGTAAGAAGAGGAAACATGTAAATTATGTATATAATTTGCAGTACATATATTTGAAAGCAGTTGTCAGGTAACACTCCCCCCCCCCGCCAAAAAAAATCTAAATAGGAATCCTTGAAAGCACCTAAGTTCTTTGGTTAAACTGAAATTCCTTGAAAGCTCAGAACTTTTCCTTGGTCACTCAACTCTCAGGTTTAAGGCTAGGTAGACAGGAAATTTGTTCATTCAGATTAGAATGAACAAAATAAATCCTTTGCATATTTCAGAGAAGTTTCGAATACAATTGAACATGGCTGTTAGGAAATATTGATCTCTCTAGTTACCTCTGAATAAAGAAGTTTTTTTGAATGAGCTAATCTGAAAGGAAATATAATAATTGTGGTAGTTATTTCTTAACCTGTGATTTTTAAAAAATATCTCTGCCCCATCTCTCCCAACCTTTGCAATATTTATGCAGCTTTTCTGCAGGTTTATATTTAGTTTTCTTACAGATGTACATGCATATGAATTTATATAGTCTGCCAAAAAGAAGGCAAACAGAATATCTGGATGGCAACTCATCAGTCAAAAGGCTTAATTACATATTGTCAAAAAGTTCCAATTCTGTTATTCTGTGTTCTAAGTAACACTGTCAGGTAGCTCCATCAGGTCTAGAACCTCAGAATGAAACATTAATTTCCACAATTGAACATTTATGTATTTATTGCTTATTTTTTTACAAACAATTTATTGCTTATTTTTTTACAATTCAAGGTAGCAAAGATGCAACATACCTTCTCACCCTGTTGTTTTCTCTACAACACTTCTGTGAGGTAAAAGTGCAATTGGCCCTCTGAGAGAATGGGGAGGGAGGGGGGGACAGTTGTGCAAGTGGCCCAAAATCACTCAGCTGGTTGCCATTACTATGAAGGACTTGAACTCAAGGTGTCCTGTTTTCTAATCTGGTGCCTTAATCACTAGACCAAATTGCCATGATATCAAGTGTTTCTCTTTCTGAAATCTTTATGGATACATCTAGTTGGGAAGGGAGGTAAGCCCACCTATTAGTGTAATTTGATGTTTCAATAACCTGGGACCAACTCTGCTGTGGTTAACAAATGATCAAAGAATGATTATTCACACAAGCCAACTAGCCTCAAATAGGGAGCTACTAACCATCATCTTTAAGAGCACCAAATCCTGTAACAGCACAAGTGGTATTCTCTGGAAAAATATATGAAGCTTCTGGAAGACAAACACGATGTACAGCAGTTGTAAATTCCACTGGGGATGAAATCTGTACAACAGCAATATCAAATTCATGGTTCATGACATTATTAGCATAATGCTCATGAATGATGATCTGGCGAAGATTCCTTTTCATGGTTGGAGGGCTTAGACGAGCCCCAAAACTACTTGTCCAACTTCTGACATCTCGGACTCTGAAAGACATTAGAGAGTACAGTTTATACAATAAGCACTCTATTTGCATTTTCATTTATAGTAAACAAAACTTCACAATGGTTTCTTGCTAACTGTTTTACATTTTTTCCTGCATTCTCACCACTATCAAACTTCAAGATTAAAAATAAATTCAGTTTATAAAATGAAGTGTTTAGGAATAACAGCAGATGTAAACAGAGATAAAGAGCTAAACTCCCCTTTCCCTTGTACAATTTTAAACATATGAGACAAATTGTGTTAGTGGTATCATCTGTGCATAAATGAAGTGAGGAAATTTTGTTGCTTAAATATGTTGTTTTAATGTAGTCTTAGAGGTATGGGGAAATATTTACTTACCCTCTAAAACAATGAGCAGCAGTCACAAGCCAGTTACTGCTGATCAATGTTGCTCCACAACGGTGAACACCATTCAGCTGGAGACTAGCTTGCCAAGGCCATTCTCCTTCTCCTGCAATAGTTCCTCCATAGATTCTCTCCACAGATCTGTCTAGTCGTGTCCCACAGCCTGCTCCCAACCACAAAAAAGAATTCTTATCTAGTATTAGTACATTTATACTATTAAATTATCAGTCTTATGGAAATGGAGACACAAATAATAGAAAGTAATCAGGAGATAGAGGAAGAGGAGGAGCCATTTGGAAGAGCAAACAGAAAAATAGATGAAATGGAACAACAAATAAAATGCAATGAGAAAAAGGAAATAAAATTAAAAATGATAATAATTGATGTAATAAACCAAGGGGAGAGTATTTTAAAGGTGGTACAAAAGGGAGTAGAATTCCAGGGACAACTTTTTGGGAGAAAGATAGGGGTAAGAGTACACAATTTGAAAATGAGACAATGGAATATAATAGAAAAGGAAGGAATGACTAAGAGGAATGGTTAAAAAAAAAATTAGCTAAAGATGAAAACTTAAAAGAGGAACATGGGAGACAAGCTAGGAAGCAATCAATTAAAACTTTAATGAGAGTGAGAGACAATGGCTAAAATATTATGATTACATATAAATGTGTGTACTATTATTTAGATATATGATTGTTAACTGTAATAAGTGATATTTTTTAAAATAAATAATATTTTATTGTAGAAAAATCTGATGGATACAAAAATAACATGGTGAAATATAGTATAAGATGAAAATAACTAAATTAAAATTGTATAATTTGTTAAATGTAAATAAGATGAACATGAACTTGTTTGTATTAAAAGGTGACTAGAAAGGGATTAATTCAATATGTGTATTAATATTAAACTATGATAGCTAAAAGGGAAAAAAAGATTATGATTCCACATAAATATGTGAAGATGATGAATTATAGCATAAGATAAAAGTAAGTATATTACTATTAGAATTGCATAATTTGCTGATGTAAATAAGATGAATATCACGTTGTTTGTATTAAAATATGACTGGAAAGGGATTTTGCTTGAAATATAATAGTGACACAACTGAGAATTAAAAGGGGTTAAATAATATGAAACTATGAATGAATATTAGAATTATATAATTTGTTAAACATTCCAAATATGACTATTAATATAGTACCCACAACAAAAGAAGTGATGTTAAGAATATAGAGATTGACATAAAAATAAAATATACCCAACCCCCAAAAAGAATGTTAGTTCATTTCACATAATTTCTAATGTTAAAAAATAAACATAAGCACTCTTCTTTGGAAATATGGAGAATGGCCTAATTTTATTCATGTTGACCTGGAAGACATTCTCACTAAAGATGGTGGAATGTATTAAACAGCCATACAGTATTTATTCACTGAATGTTAAGGGAACAGGCAAGGGAGTGTCAAAGCATAATTTTTTTCTGTTCATGTGCCGTCTTGATGTTTTTTTCTTGCCCTAAATTATTCATCCACAGAAAAACAAGAAAAGAATTTCATAATCTATTTTGAATACAGGTCCTCAATTTCTGTATAATTGGGAAAGAATGTGTGTTTCTAGGCCAGGTGGTTATTAAGTGAGTTGCACCCAAATTTATCATATTTTAGCCGTGTTCTTAAATGAATCACTCCAATTATTAAGTGACTCATATGACTATTAAATGAATCTGGCTTACTACATAGATTTTGCCTGTGGGAAGCTAACTGGATAGGTCTCAAATGGTAATGGTGTGACTACAGAATGCTGTAACTATAAAATACTAGGAACTGTCTTTCTGGAAACATTTTTCAAATACAGAATTGCACTTCTGGGTTCAGGAAAGGAAATAGATATGTTTTGCAGGTTGCTGAGGTTAGCTCAGAAATATCTTTTTTCTCCTCTTAGGGAAAAAGTCTATGTAACATTTCAGTTTTGTAGAAATATCTCATCCTTAAGAAAAACATGGGTGATCTAAGTTACAATATTACAAATAAGTGAATTTAAAATTTATTTTCATGATTCATTACTATATAAAAAGTGTCTTGTTTGTCTTCATAATGTTATTTAGTGGAAGTGACTTCAAATGTGATAATCAAGCTGAAAAAACAAATTTGTGATGATTGGGCATACTAGATTAAAAAAGAATTTGAGAATGATGGTGCTTCAACAGGAAAGTCTTATCTTATACAGTAGATGTGTCCAGTATCTCCAGTTATAAAGTTAAAAGCATCTGGATAACAGCATCCAGAGGAAAATGAGGCTAAACACACTATTTTTTAAACAAGTCTGTTTTTAAACAAAAAGCCGTTCTGGTACTTACAACTGTTCAGAAGATTTGTACCACTTTCTTCATTTATTTCTGAAAACAAATATGGAGAAGACAAATGTTTAATTGGCAATAGCAATATTTCCTCAACCTTCATCCTAAACCTGATTCAATCAATCAATTAATTAATCAGAATAGAGCTGGAAGGAACCTTGGAAATCTTCTAGTCTAACCCCCTGCTCAATCTATAGCATTTCAGACAGTCCACTTTCTTCTTAAAAACCCCCAGTGATGAAGCACCAACAACTTCTGACAGCAAGCTGTTCCACTGTTAATTGTCCTCATTTGTTAGGAAATTTCTCTTTAATTCCAAGTTGCTTCTCTCCTGGATTGGTTTCCATCCATTGTTTCTTGTCCTGCCTACAGGTGCTTTGGTAAATAAGTTGATTCCCTCCGCTTTGTGGCAACCTCTGAAATATTGGAATGCTTCTATCATGTCACCCTAGTCCTTCTTTTCTTTAGTCTAGCCAAACCCAATTTCTGCAACTGTTCTTTATATGTTTTAATCTCTTTAGTCATCTTAGTTGCTCTTTTTGAACTTTTTCCAAAGTCTCAACATCTTTTTTGTAATGTGGTGACCAAAACTGGATGCAGTATTTTAGGTGTATAAAACCTTACTAAGGTTTTATAAAGTGGTACTAATACTTCACGTGATTTTGATTCTATGCCTCTGTTTATACCACCAAGGATTGCATTAGCTTTTTTGGCTTCTGCCACACATTGCTGGCTCATATTTAAGTGATTGTCCACTAGGACTCCAATGCCCCTCTCACAGTTAGTCTTCTCATCACTCCTTATCACCCATCCCCTCCCACTTGTGATTGTAGGACTGTAACTTTGTCGCTTATATCCTTACGATTTATATTGACTGTTTCCTTGTATGATTTGATTGTTGATTGTACCCTATGACTAGGGTACATTATGTTGTACATTATGATTCTTGATTCTTAACGAATGTATCTTTTCTTTATGTATACTGAGAGTATTTACACCAACACAAATTCCTGTGTGTCCAATCACACTTGGCCAATAAAGTATTCTATTCTATTCTATTTTGAGCCAGGTTTCGCTTACTCTGTACATATACCTTTGTTTTTCTTGCCTGCGTACAAGCTTTGCTTTTCTCCATATTAAATTTCATTTTATGGATAGGACCCATTATTTAAGTATGTCAATATCTTTTTGGAGCCTGAGCTTATCTTCTGAGATTTAGGCTATTCCTGTTAGCTTAGTTTTATCTGCAAATCTGCATGTCTCATTGTCGGCCCCCATGGCCTCCTGCAGCGCTCTCTTGGCTGAAAACAGGCCAAGGCCCTTCAAGGCCTCCATGCAGCCCATTTTCAGCTTCCCTGGCTTTCTAGATTTCTATAGAAATGTAGTGATCTTTATATATAATGCAACTGTGTCTCTTCTTTTATTTGGTCTGTTTCTTTTGAATAGTTTGTATCCTTCCAGTCATGAGTATCACCCTACCAAATTTCAGTAATGGCAGGTACCAATATCATATTTACCTTCATGTACTACAGTAGTATTTACATGCACTAGTATTTACTAGTATTTATGCTTTTCAATAATCACTAGGAATTTGGGAATATTGGCTGAGGATGTTTTCATACCAGTATCTCCCTTCCAGTAGGGTTGATTTTACAGCATTTTAAATGAGAAATATGAAAAATTTTCTTAAGTTATTTTTGCTCAGAGTAAAACCAAATATCTTAGTACTGTCTTTGTATAAATGATGTTACAGCCATATTAGCCTCAGGAAACCTAAAAATTGCAATGCCACGTCACTCTTTCTGTTGGTTAAAAGTTTTTAATTGTATCTTTCCTGGACTAGTTTTTATGTACTTTAAAGCATTTAAATTTTCATCTTTCTATTATTACAATCACCAGAAAGAAAATAAGATATTTATTAGGAATTTGGTCTCTATATAGACTTTTACAGAAACTATATCAAAAAGTCCTTTATAATCCATTTAGTTGGTTAGCATCATGAATTAACCAACCAACTGATATTCCCATTTGTTGACTAGTACTATATAAGAGTGACTAGTTCATAAAAATAAACAAATAACATAAAGATTATTAGCTTTGGCTCAATGAAATTTTCTCAATATTCTTTGGCAAAAACTCTGTTAATTCCTAATGATAATTCCTTAAATATTAAAAATGTAAATGAAAACCAGGGAACAATTATTAATAGATTGGAAGAAAACCTGAAATCTGTAAGTATTTTATTTACCCACAGGGAAAAAAACTCTGCAATACTATACAAATATCTTAAGCAAGGATAGGAAATGGGTAGTACAGTTTTGATTAAATCAACATATATATTTCAGGTTACAGTATAAGCAAATAAAGCAGTTTAATACATTTGATCATCATTACAAAGGATAGTTGTAACACTTGCCTGAGAGCTTATATGAAGAAATATCAATACTTAAGGGCCATGTTGATGACTTCAGCTTTTTTAGCAAAATATGATAAATATTTGTCCAGAGTATCTCTTTATTATCTGTGGCAATGAACTTAAATATTAGCACCACATCTGCCAGGACACCGTCATTCCCTGGGCTGCAAAAGAATAATACAGACAGCTGACCAAACAAACCAGAATATTTTCTATACTCTGCAGGGGTATTTTTTCATATATATTCACTCACTCACCCAGAAGATTTGCTACTTAACTCATTGCCTCTTGGAAATAAATGGCACTGGGCAGATACCAGGAAATAATTTGATATAAATTTGGATGACGCTATCAAAAATAGCTATGATTTAGAATGGGGAAAATATAGGGATCTTTGAGAGGAATAAAGTTTTCCCCTGTTTTAACTCTTTGCCCTTCTCTTTTCATGTGCCCATCTTGCAATTAAGCTTTATTCATTGGCGGTTGTTTGCCTATGAATATTTGCCCCACAATTTCCAGAAATAGTGTTATGCTGAAAAATATGGAGGTGAGGAATAGAAGCAGGATAATTCCTTTCACCTGCCTAAATAGATAAGTAATTAAAGAAGACCACACTGCAGATTTCCCAGACTTCATTGAATGTTGATCTGCCAAAATAAACTTTGAATAAATGGGGTATTTTTGGACAGCCCTAAAGGAATGCCATCTTAGTATATGCTCAGTTTAAAGCCAAATCTTATAGATTAAGAGAAACAAAATTATAATTTCCTGGTATGGACAGTGATGTCATCTTTATGTTTCTAAAAATTTATAAGTATTCTTCAGCAGAAAAGGCACAGTTTTAACAATGATCCATATTCCAGGTGATTATGCTTTTTGATTAGACAGAAAAATTGAGTAAGTCTTATACAAATGGGTCTAAGCCAGGGGTGGGATACGACGGGGTTAACTACCGGTTCAGGATTTATGAGCTTCCCTGCAGGCTGCGAGCCGTGCACCTGTAAATCAGCAGCAGCAGTTGCCTGCAGAGAAGCAGCCTTTGAAACAGCCCTCTTTTCTTGCTTTTCCAACTGCAGCTGTGCCTTGTTCAGCAGCTGAAGTTGAAAATCAGGAAATAAAGATCGGGAAAGAGCCCAGGTGGGGGGGTTGGCAAAAACATCAGCAGACATAGAAGCGGTTCTATGTCTGCTGCTCTTCAGAGCTACCAGTTCTACAGAGGCGGACAGAACTGGTAGAAACCCACCCCCAGTCTAAGCCATCACTGTTACAATTTGCCACGGCCAACTCACTGCAGGAAAACATGATGTGGGACAACTCACTGTGGCTAACTTGCTGTAGGACAATTCAAAAGTGGATAACTCAAGAGAGGAACAAGTGAATTGCAGCAAGCCTTGTCTTGCTTTAGATTTGAATCTTCTCAATTTAGAAGTTCTGGAGACTGGGTGAAGTTTACTAGTCCTTCTCTTGAGCTATCCCAAATTGAATTATCTATGATGAGTTGCCCCACTGTGAATTAATGGTGAGTTGTCCACAGTGAGTTAGCCACAATGAGTTGTCCTGCAGCAAGTTGGCTGTAGCAAGTTGGCCATCGTGAAACAGCCAGGGAGAGTCAGCTGGGAAGCATTGGCCACGGCAAGTTGTCCCATTCCTTGTACAAATGGTTCAAAAAATAAATCGAATATCAATTTCTATTTTTGCTTTGGAAATTAGACCCACACGGATCTTTTTTGTTTGTTTCAGTTTCATTTTAATAAATCTAGTCACATGTTTATATGTGTTTGAGCATACTGTGTATTGTATTAGCACCATCAATTAAATTCAATTAGGCCAGATACATATCATGCCACATCGCACAAAAGCCTACTCTTACCACTTGTTCACTGAAATACAGTGAACTTTTAATGTGATGTTAGGCTTAACAAATCTACATGGAGGAATCTATTCAACTGTTAAAGAAAGGTGTTTTCTCTCTCTCTCTCTCTCTCTCTCTCTCTCTCTCTCTCTCTCTCTCTTTCTCTCTGTGTGTGTGTATGTGTGTGTGTGACTGCATAGTAAGAAAGGGTTTCTGTTTTGAGGTTAGGGAAGCAAATTGTAAATCTGTCGTATAACATACATAGGACTTCCATGAGAAGAACTTCAAGAACCTTCCTAAAATGTTCTCCAATCTACATCAATTAGAGGGTTAATCCTGATTATGCCTGTCTCTTTGTTTATTATGGAATGTTTTCAGCCCATGAATTCTTCAGCAAAAACAGTGGACTGTACAATAGTTATATGAGTTCCTAGTATTTGTCCACCTGCTGGTCTTGCCTTGAAAATTTCCTCAAATGTTTATATGTTTAGATGTTTCAGGGTGAAAAGGTAGAATTTAGTTCCGATCCTCCCAATCCATCAGTTATCCAAAAAAAATGAGAGACAAACTCAATTAACTTAAATCAAATATAACAGTTATGGAGGTTTAATTAAGCTATTTTTAAAATATTCATATGCTAGCTTTAGGGTTGTAAGTCAGATGATATTGATTCCATGATTAAAAACTTATCTAAAGACAAAAATATAAAAGGCAACAGGCAGTAGTTACACCAAAGGACATGTCAGTTAGTTGGGTTATTTTCATTATCCATTATAAATTGTGACAAAGAAAAGATGAACATATTCTAAAATGCCTCCAGCTCCTAGGTGTTAGACTACAGCTAGCATCATTATGCTAGTTTTGAATGTGTGGCTGATTGATGGAAATGAGGCTGAGAAACACCATTTGGGGGAAATAACTCAGATCTATTTCTTAATGCTATCTGGGGCCATTTGATTTAAAAATTCATTCTCATGTCATTGTTAGCAATTAATTCAACGTCTATTCCTGAGTGGAATGTTATCTACATACCTTAACCTGACAACACGTGCATTAATGAGCCTTTTTTCTAAAGGAGTAGCTTGAAATGCTTGCTTAATCTGTTGAAAGGAATGAACAGTTGTGTTTGTTATAGAAAATTTATTAAACAGAATAGAAATGAAGCAGTTCCCCTAGGTCTATGTCTCAAAGTCTGCAAGATGATGGATACAATGTGCCTATCAGAGCCATACCTGTTGCTACCTCAATCTCTGAAGCTGGCCCCAAGCGAAAATCTTTTACTCAGAAGCTGGTGAAAATGTTTTCCTTTGATTTCACATTCTTACAGTTATGCCATTATTTGAATAAAACACTTCGGCTTTTCTGCCAGCAGGTCAGCCTCTTCTAGATCTCTGGAGATCTTCAAAAAGTCAGTAATCCATGGGAAATGGGGTTGGAAGGAGAAAGTGACATCTGAGGTGCTAGCAAAGCAGGCCCAGCCTGTGGAGACCCAGTGGCACAGGATGGGATGGGGGAAACAACTGTGGGGACCCCAGGGGAGCATGAGGTATCTCAGTGGATTCAGGGAGGCTTCCGGTGGTCTGCTCCAACACTAGGCCCCACATGCTGTTCCCCAGCCTCAAATACCTCATGTGCATTTAAAGACCTACACATTTGATTAACAAATGCATTGGAGAAAGCAGGGAATGATCACATTCATTTAACATGATTCAATCAAATGAATCCCCAGGTTCATTTGGCAGGTTTTATTACATTTATAACTGTATAATGAGAGTAAGGGAGGGTCTCAGAGAAGTTCTACCTTAGCAGCACACAAGCCCCGTGTCATGTTCACCATGGCCACGCTCACCCAGTCACATGACCACTCAGCCATACCTACCCAGCCAGTCATTAGGGCAGAGAACTGGTTGTTAAATTATTTGAATCCCACCACTGGCCTCAGCAGAAATATAGTATCAAGAGAAGTCTTATTTCACTCAATTCAGAGTTTGGCAGACCACAATCAGAATATTATAGCAAGTTCTGGGAAACATGTTTTAAAAAGAACACTAAGAATCTGGAGATGTGGAGAAAGAATGATTTAACAATGGAATAAACTGCCTTAGAAAGTTGATGACTTTTTCAGTAGATGGCTATATTATAGTGAATAATTCCTATATTAAGAAGGGATAACTTGATCTCCAAACTCTCTTCCATTCCTTTCATTCTCCTATTATCCTTTTTTATGGGTGGTTGGATAAAAGGATAGGAAACCCCACAAATTTACCATTCCCCTAAGAGAATTTCTTTCTAAAAAGAATAAATCTGGATCTGCAATAAAGAAATAAAAATTAAAATAAATCAAACATGTACACTAAAGATAAGCCTGCTTGGAAGTCCTTTAAAATCCTTCCACAAATGGAAGCTATTAAATTGTAGTATTAGATGGTCCAACCAGAATGAAATTGAGCTGTAAAAAGAGTTGCACATCTATTTAACTAACTAGCCTTTATTGACCATTTGAATGGGAATTTCCTCTAAGCTAGTCACAAACTTATATTTGAAATAGAGGTGACAAAACTGCAACTTTACAATGAACCCTGGTGCAATCTCTGTCCAATTATCAAACCAAAGGATTGGCATGTTGAGCTAATTTAAGTATGTCATCCAATATTTTGCTGGTATTATGATTTGCTCTAAGTGTTAACTTTTAATTTAATGACTCCTTATTAGAGCTGTCTTAACTTTGGGCCAGGCTTGTTTAATGCCATATTTTGTTACTATTTCTCCCTGGTAACAGTATTATATTTCTTGAACTTTAAAATAATGTTTCCTTTTTTCAGTTTAATACTTGAAGACCTGGCTTTCTTGAGGTCCAGTTTTAATCATTGATTGTACAGGTAATCTTTGACTTACAACCAGTTGAGCCCCACATTTCTGTTGCAAAGGGAGATAGTTGTAAACTGAATTTTGCCCCATTTTATGTCTTTTCCTGTCAGAGTTGTTAAGTGAATCACTGCAGTTATTAAGTTAAGTGAACCTAGTTGCTCCATTGACTATGCTAGTCTGAAGGTCACAAAAGGTGATCATGTGTCCCCAGGACATTGCAACCATCATAAATTGAGTCAGTTGCCAAGCATCTGAATTTTGATCATGTGACTATGGAGATGCTGCAATGGTCATAAGTGTGAAAAATGGTTATAGTCACTTTTTAAGTGCTATTGTAACCTTGAACAGTCACCAAATGAAGCATTATAAGATGAGGACTATCTGTATTCATTTATGATACACACAGCAATATATCAAAGTTCTTGGAATACCTTCTATCAGTTGTTGCATGCTGTTATGAAACACTTAAACTTAACCCAAAGGGCATTTATTTAAAGAGTATTAACTGCATAATGTTCTAAGCATATGTAGGCGTGTGCTTCCTTCAACCTGTGGCATGTGGCGTGTGCCAAGCCCAGCTAATGCACCCAGTTGGAAAAATATCTTCATGTTTGCTAATTCTGCTAATAGTTCCATGTGTTGGGATACGATAATACTGTCTTTGAATTGAATATTTACAATCAAGTTGGTTCAATTGTCCATGACCACATAGATAATTTTTCTCCAAAATTCTATGTTCCCAAACTGATCATCTAGATCTTCCAAATAGCGCACATACTATGACTATAATAATCCATCCACCTTGCTGCTGAACATCCTTTATTTCTCCTTCCATCTTCTTCAGCATTATAGACTTCTTTAGAGAGCTGGCTGTTTGTATAATATGTCCTTAATATGATAATTCGAGCCTGATTTGTTCTATGAACCATTTGTTCATTTTCTTGGTTTTTCATAGTATTCTCAGGACTCTTCTCCATCATCAAAATTTAAAAGCATTAATATTTATTCTATCCTATTTCTTGGAAGCCCAATTTTCATACTCCACAAAGTGTCACATGGAAAAATCATTACCTGCACCATTTCAATCTTTGTAGATACTGGCATATCTCAGCATCTGCATATTTTTTTCAAGGTCTTCACTGGTGCTCTACAAACTGCTAAACTACAGTACATTTCTTGACTGTTGGTTCTTTTACTGTTGTTTACCCCACTTGGTAGACCAGATTGGGACTCAGTTTCAAAGACAGGCTAAAACTATTTTTATGGACATTGGCTATAATAACAGAATCTTGCAAGTCGTGTTGTACTCCTCTCCTTTTTACAGTTCCACTAAATGGGGAAGCATCTGCCTGAGTCAATTCCAAATGTTATCTATTATACATTTAAGAAATGCTTTAGCTCGTTTGCCAGCTCCTAAAGGTCATCTTTCTTACTCTCTTAAATAGCTGATCCTAAAAGGCAGAAGTTATCCACCAATTTTAATTCATTTCATTATCAATTCTAGGGCTGATTGGAGCATCTGTTACTGTTAGTTTGGCCTTCTTTATATTTAATCTTAGTCCTGACTTTTACTGTTAGAGATACTATATCATTTGCATTTTGACTCTCAGAATAGTATTAGCAATGTAGCTCAAATTATTGGAGTCTCCTTCTCTAATTTTGAAATCATGCTCATATTCTTCTGATTAATGTTTCCTCAATATATATTTGGCATATATATTTATTTGAATAAATAAATTATTATTAACAGAACCCATTGTTTCTTATGGGGTATTTTTTTAGCTAGCTTGCAGGGAGCATAGACAACATTGACATTCATAAAATATGCTAGGAAGTTTGTGCAGCTTACTAAAGGGCAAGGAAGGATTTACAATTTGCAGAATCCCACATCAATTTCCAAATTAAAAAAACAGAAAGACAGTCAAGGATTGTCCTCTCCCAAAGTTTCTATGTCTCTCTGGTCATTTTCTTTCTCCAGAATAGAGTTTAGAACATTAAATGCATTAAAAAATCATTCTCACTTACCAAAACCTCAATACTTCTGCTCAGTTCTCTAAATTCTGCTGAAGTCTGTTTGTCAAAGTTAGGCTGATATTGCACATTATTGATTCTAAAGGAAGCATTGTAAAAGAATTGTTTCTGATCTGTATATAAAGAGGGGAGAATGAAAGCATTTATACCATAGTATCAATTAATTTACAACAATGAGATACAATTAAGCAATCAACAGAAGAAATTTTCTAATGTTTTAGAGGATTAACTATTATGGTGTGAATGACATATTTTAACTCTTAAGCAAAGGATTTTAACATACTTTCCATATTTTGTTTGGGGAAAATGCAGGTTAAGTAGAATAAGTTGACCTGGACTATGAATGGTCCGGGATAAGTAAAATTATTGAGTTTTGGAGCTATCAGATAGAGTGTATGTCAAGTGAAAGAAGCTACAAAGAAATAATAAACTGTGTTCTCATGCTTAATGGTTGGCATGTCTCAAGACTGATTCTATTATTCATCCTCCTTTCAGAATCTCAAGTGAAAGAATTAAAATTCCTTGGTAAAAGGCCAGAATCAGGAGTTGGCTATTTTCTGCTAAGATGCAAATGTTGCAGTGTATGTATTCTTGTAGAGTATATGCATACCAGAGGTGGTATTCAGCAGGTTCTGACCAGTTCTGGAGAACCAGTTGCGGAAATTGTGAGTAGTTCAGAGAACCGCCTCTGACTGGCCCTGCCCCCATCTATTCTCTGCCTCCCAGGTCCCAGCTGATTGGCTGGGTCTTCTTTTGTTGCCCTGCACAGGAGAATGAAGCTGGAAAGCAGGTTAGTGGGATGGGGTGGGGAGAGAATGGGGATTTTACAGTATCCTTTTCCTGGAGTGGTGTGGGAATGGAGACTTTACAGTATCCTTCCCCTGCCATGTCCACCAAGCCACACCATGCCCACCAAACCACACCCATAGAACCAGTAGTTAAAATTTTTGAATCCCACCACTAATGCATACCGATATATGCCCTTTAAATCAGGTTTCAATCCAGTAAAACAAAACACGAACAGGTTCTTCCTTTGACATATCAGATACCATTCACAATCTCATCAATGTTCATTGGGCTTATTGTGCCAGGAGTAGTCTTCAAGCAGCTTACTAACTCTACTACTTTATATCCAAATTTTAAGACTTGTGGCAGCTCTAACAACAATGTTTAGCCCTCTAAAATAGACCAAGCTTGGAAGCCAAAGATAGGCAGTTAATACCTGGAGTTCTTGGATTACAACCATTCATTTAGTGACTGTTCAAAGTTACAATAGCACTGAAAACAGTGACTTATGAACATTTTCACACTTTTAACCATTACAGCATCCCCATGGTCACATGATCAAAATTCAGACACTTGGCAGCTGGCATGAATTTAGGAGGTTGCAATGTCCCAAGGTCAAATGATCACCTTTTGTGACTTTCTGAAAAGCAAAGACAACAGAGAAGCCAGTTTCATTTAACAACTACTAGTGTTACTGATTTAACAACTGCAATGATTTACATAACAACTGTGGCAAGAAAGGTCATAACATGGGGCAAAACTGAATAACTCTGTTGCTTAGCAATGGAAATTTTGGGCTCAGTTATTGTCATAAGTCAAGGACCACCCGTATTAATTTTATTGCATGTGGTCCTTGACTTAATGACCATAATTGGACCAACAAATTGTCATTAAGTGATACAGACATTAAGAAAGATGACCATATCCAATTTTACAACCCTTTATTTAACCACAGTTGTTAAGCAAGTAGCATTAACTGACACATCATCTGACCACAATTTCCCAGTTTCCCTATTGATTTTGCTTGTTGGAAGTTGGTTGGGAAGGTCACAAATAGCTATCATACGATTGCATAGCATTGCAACTGATGTAAGTGTGATCCAGTTTCTGTGCAACCCAAACCATAATCATGTATCTGTATGGATGTTGTAATGGTCATAAATGGACTGGTCATTAATCATTTCTTTGAGCAATGTCATAACTTTAGTCTCTAAATAAATGGCTGTAAGTCCAGGACTACTTGCATAAGGTTATAGAGTCACAGAATTTTGCAAGCCTGAAAATACTCCCTCCTTTCTTTTTTCTTCATGAAAAATAGGGAGGGTCATGTCTATGCTTTCTCAATTTACATTTCTGCACTGGACTTTATCTGACTATTGTCTTGATTGTAGCTCTTCATCCTATTCCTCAGGGTTATTCCTTCTGCCCATTGCATAATGCTATATCTGGCAGGATATAACAGGATCATACTTTGCCTTGGGTGATACACCAACAAAGAAATCAGGCAGAAAAACACTGCAAAACATAACAAATATGTTATGTTCTTTGCCAGATGGCCTGAAATGGTCCAGCTGGAATAAAAGTTGCTATAAATTCTTCAGGAAATAAATGCATTACATATATTTTTTTCTTTTTGATTGTTGAAAGATTTTCAAGCACAAAACCATTCAAATCATATGGACTGAACAAGAAATATACTTACCATATATCAAAAAGTAGACAAGCAAACCAATGGCAGTGGCTAAGATCAGCAATATCGCTAACACAAGCAAAGCAATCATCCATGGCTCCCAAGGACTGGTTCTTGACCTAGACATTCTGAGAAGATGGGCAAATATAAGATTTTGTAGGCGACACAGTGAACCTTAAGTAGTGCACTTAATTTCTGCTATAATCTTCTTTTGGGTTGTTTAATGTTTATGCACATTAAATGTTTCACAAATGAATGAATTAAAAATACTGCTGAACTAATAATAAATTAACTGCATTAATCTTCATTCATTCATTCATCATTCATTATTTCATATATTGCAATAATAGTTACAATTGCATCTTACAATTTCAGTAATAGTAGGCACACATTAGTTTAAAGCGAACGAAGATAAGAAAAATAAGAAAAGTAATGGCAGTTGAAAATAAACCCAGTTCTGATCCTAAAAAAGAGAAATTCATAGTGATCAGCTCATCTAATCTCCAGACCCAAAAATGAATATTCAAATCTTCAGGAACTCCTGAAAATAAACCCAGTTCTGATCCTAAAAAAAAGAAATTCATAATGATCAGCTCATCTAATTTCCAGACCCCAAAAGGAATATTCAAATCTTCAGGAACTCCTGAAATGTTAGCAGGGTTAGGACTCTACGAATTTCAGGAGTATGGTGTTTTAGAAGGTGTGTTCAGCAGAAAAGCCATACATCCTTGGGCCAGTCTGATGTTCCTGTTTAATAAATGGACCAAGAGCACAGCCTTCCTATTGGATCTAGTGGGCTGGGAAGGAACAACTAGAGCAAAACAATCCCACAAATAATTATTTACTTTGAAATCTTTTTGCCGTCTCCTTTGTGAATTATAAATACAGAATTAGTAATTCAGGCAGTGCAGTATTTAATTTCATTCCCCTATTTTGCAAAACCACATCAGGTATTATTCTACATTCAATTTACACTCATTTAAAAGGGGAAAGTTTGACCACGTCCACTGGTTCACCTAAGATCATGCTCATGCTGAGAATTATGTACTACAAATATAGGTAGGCCCACACAAGCTAAGAAATCCAGTCATGCTTTTATTTTTAGGCTTTTGTCATATACAGTGGCCATTGGTTTTCTAGTGCCTTAATATTCATTCTGAACTATAAAATCAACATTAAAAGATCTACATTCATGTCTAAAATAAAATGGGAAACCTGCAGCCCTCAGCTACATCCTGGATTTGCAGTTTTAAAACTTTGGCTGTGCTTCCTTTTCCAAATTAAATGTACAATGCTGCAAATTCCCTTCACGATTGATTCTCTCTGGCTCCAGCTCTGTTCTCCTTGAAGCAGGCCTCAAAGTGATGTTTCCTAAGGAAGAACTCCCTGATCTAGTTTTTCATGTAAATGATTGCTGTAATATTTGCAAGAACCTTAACCCTAAATATTATTACCTCCATGTTGTGTATGGGATGTGAAAGAATTTGTTGACTAACTAAGCTCACCAAAAAAAAAATCATGGTAGGCAGTATAGACTCTTCTTTGCAGTTCCATTAATGTGCCTTCTTTAGTCCTTGGGTCTGAGAGATTCCTCCCAAATCACCCGGATCCACCCTCTGCCCAATATGTCATCCCATGTTTCAAATATCCCAAACAAATACATGCTTCAATGGAGTATCAATGCTTTTAATAATGGTCATAGTAGCAGCATCCATATATATTCCACAGAGGCCACAAATGCTATTAGTGAACAACTCCAATGACAATGCTTCCCTTCCAAGGAATAAACAGAATTAGAACTAAGTCTTCCCAACCACCTTGTCAGCAGAAGGAGGCAAGGAGTTTGCCTGAAGCAGCTAGCAGCCAATACAGCATGTGAACTGGTAAAGCCTGTATGCAAGCAGCTCCTCACATGTTCATGCATTTGACATGTGAGAGCAGTGCACGGAAGACAGGGCTGCGCTCTTCTTTAATAGTGGTGAAGACACTTCTCCCATGATTAATACATAAAGAGGCATTACGCATTGTGAGGACCTTGAGCAATACACCCTATTATTTCTATACTATATGCTCCCAGGGATGCAGCAAATTCTAATACTATTAGACTAGTCCCATTAGGAAATCCAAATTTATGGGTAACTGCCTGGGTGGGGAAAGGGACTCAGTGGAGTTTCAGGATTGTCAAAATCTTGGCCCAGAATTGCCTCTCATTCTTGGAATTTGAAAGAGAGAATCAGGATATTTGTATATAGACTTAATAAAAAAAATCCTTAACATACACAATTAATGTCAGTATTTAACTTGATGCTTAAAAATAAAACTTCTATCTCAAGCATTTGAATGAACTGGACGTACCCATATCATGAACTGAGGCAACCTTACAGATGATGAACATAGCATATGAGAACCAGAGTACTGAAAAGTCAGCATCCTACTCAGACACTATAAAGACAAGAGCTATCTATCTATACCTTATGCAGAATGAAGCAAGAGGCACTGAAGAGAATGATAAAATAGGATGGACAAGCTTAGTCCATGCTTTTCTGGATTTGTCCTGTATGCTCTCATATAGAGTATAGTAACTAGATGAAGTAGTCTTCCAAATCTTGAGCCCTATCTAACAAAATGAAAGTCAATGGTACGAACAACTGGTGATTGGTACGAACAACTAAATGCTGTTCATATAGGTGGTACTTCACTCAATAGCAGTAACTGTGAGAGGGATCTTGGAGTCCTAGTGGACAATCGCTTAGATATGAGCTAGCAGTGTACTGTAATTGCCAAAAAAGTCAAAGTAATCCTAGGCTGCATTAACAGAGGGATGGAATCATGTGAAGTGTTAATACCACTTTATAAGGCCTTGGCAAGTCCAAGCTTGGCATACTGCAATCAATTTTGGCCACTATAATATAAAAAAAAGATGTTGAGGCTCTTGAAAGAGTACAGAGAAGAGCAACAAAGTTAAGTACAGTAGGAGGCTGGAGGCTAAAACACAGGAAGAATTGTTGCAGGAATTGAATCTAACTAAAAAGAAGGACTACGGGCAACATGATAGCAGTGTTCCAATATTTGAGAGACTGCCACAAAGAATAGGAGGTCAACCTATTTTCCAAATCAGCAGAAGGGAAGATAAGAAACAATGGATGGAAACTAATCAAGAAGATAAGAGAGGGGCCCATGACATGGATTTTTTAAGTTGTTAACTAACATAGTTACTTTGTATTTTAATTTAGCTTATTTCTCTCTTTTATGAGGATTTATCAAACCACTATAGACTGGAATGTAGGAAACCTATTCCATCGCTGTATGGTTTGATTGATAGCTTCTAATTCCTAAACTGAGAAGATAAACTACAGAAGAATGGATGGATATTATTTCCTGATTTAAAAAAAAGTTAGTGCAAAACTGGTGTCTGGTATGTTCCTTCATGAACTTCAAACAACCTTTGTAGTTGATTTACTATGCAAAGGAGAGATTACTTTTATCCTTCATTTATTTTTATTTATTTATTTATTTTGTCAAGCAATTATAAGATAACAGGTATAAGTATAAACATAGTTATGGATACATGAAATTGATACATATAAGAAAAATAAAAAGAAACAATAGGACAGAGATGGTAGGCACGTTGGTGCGCTTATTGTGCCCAATCAACTTTCTTCGTGCATTTTCTTTGTTGTGTTAACTATAAAAGAGAATGTAAGATGGGTCTTGAGGTTCTCCCTTTTCATAGGTAGATCCCACTTTTGGGGGGTACCCTAATAAATTGCTTTTAAATGATCTTCCAACTTGGTTGCTTATTGGGAAGGTAAACCAAGGCAGAACCTAGGGCCAGATTTGGCTATCAGAAGCAACCCAGAACTAAGGAGAAATCGGACAGTGAGAACAATCAACCAGAATGGGTTGCCTTCAGAAGTCATAGGTGCTCCATCACTGGAGGCTTTTAAGAAGATACTGGACAACCATTTGGCTTTGCTTGGGCAAGGGTTGTACTACTAGAAGACCTCCAAGCCATTTGATATGGTTCAGTTGCCAATTTATAAATTGAGACTTGCTTTACTGTAGCTTAATTTCATGCACACATACAAAAGGGACAGAACTGAACTACCATTTTGACATTTTTTTAAAAGCCCGCACAGATACTACTGCTCAAAACAGAATGTTATTATTTGTGTTGCACTGTATATTTTAATCAAAAATATGTAGTGAATTAAAATTAATACTGCTATTTTTTGTTAAAGCTGTATTGTAATGAATGAAATGAAGCATGATAATTGTCTCTTCAATGTAATGTCACTGTGTGTGGTATACCACCATGATAACACAACTCCTGAAATGCATGAGAAATATGAAATGCACACTTTTGCAAGGAGACATACATACAGTAACTGAACATCCTACCTAATAGTGTCCATACTTGCCATTCAAACCCAATATCCAAAAATATCCATAAATTTGAAAGTATTTTATTATGAAAACAGAATCAGTGAAGGATTTTCTCCCTTTAATTTAGTTAAATGTTCAATTGTTTCTTTTTCTCTTCCAGCAAAGTTTTAAGATTTGTTTTCAAAAATAAAGAAGATGTCCAGAGGCATTGACAGAATCCAACGCTTTCAACAAAATGGTAAAAGTAGCACTGTACCTTCAAAACAAGGCCTTCACACCACACATTTGTACACATGAACAAAAGGCAATGAATTGCCATTAGTGCAACACCTTTTTTCTTATTTGCACCTTTTTGACCTCCACTGCAGAGATCTCTGAAGATGACATAAATAGGGAAAAGAGCACCATCACAAATTTCTCCAGCTAATATGTTTTCTTATCTTCCAACAACTTCAATTACATATCACTCTTGCTTATGGCAGAATATAAACAGTAGATTAGAGAATCTTGATTTAGACTAATTCTATAATGATGTTAATTAGAAGACAAAACAAAAAGCAATGGATGGAAACTGACTAAGGAAGAAACAGTCTAAACCAAAGAGAGTGACAGTGAAAGCAATAAACTAATGAAACAACTTTCTTTCAGAAATTGTGGGTGCTCCATCACTGGAGTCTTTTAACAAGAGTCTAGATAGCCTTGTCTGAAATTATATAGGGTCTCCTGCTTTTCTAGGGGGTTGGACTAGAAGAACTACAAGGTTCCTTTCAACTCTGATGTTCTATGCCCTATTGCAAATGATCCCATCACTTTAACAGCAGGGCAGAACAATATTTCAGCAGCAAATTCAGTTTGCTTTTCTATCTCTTATCTACTACTATCTCCTGTCATATTCCATACTACCCTCCCCCCTTGAAAATGTCCTATATCTATGTTCAAAATTCCAAAGGAAATTCTAGCTATGTCCAATTTTTCCATTTAACCACTCACCAAGTCCAAACAATTACCCTGTGTAGAACCACCTACTGGATAGAATTGACAACTGGTGGCATTCATGTCTTCAGTGAGAAATTACTTTTAGAGTTGACATCCCTTCAAGGTCTTGATAATACCTGATACAAAAGATGTGATGCAATATGCTGAGCTATCACTCTGTGTTACTCCTCCCTGAAGCCAAATCAAGAGAGCTTGCAGCTCAAGATTTGTATCTCATGCCTAGTTCAGGAAGTTTTGCCAGATCTGGAGAAACACAAGAAGCATTTCAGGAATGAATATCAAAATAAGGCAAATTTTACAATATAAAATCATTCCCTATTTGTTAGCAAGGATCATGGCTTAAAATTACTTGCTGAACAGCAGTAAGGATAATATGGTCAAAGTGTAATATAAATAAGCGACATGTTATTTCAATATACTGTACTTTAAAGATTGAGTGGCTCTGAGATGAAGATGAAGATCTGAAGAAGGAGGAAGATGAAGTTCTGAAGATGGCAGAACAGACAACCATGCACAAATTCAGAAGCAGGACAGACAGTGTAGTAATGACAGCTAAATAATTCTCATGATTGCATCATCCATACAGGTCATCACACTGTTCAGGCTGCAATGGCTAAATCCATTCCTGATTAGTTCTTTCTATACAAACCAAACTAACTTTACACTGCCTTACAGCAGAGATGTCATACTCACATCCCCTGGGCCTGAGGGTATCACACACTGGCCATACCCATGCCTAGTTTAACAAAGAGGAAAAAAGGCCATGGTACGTCACATGATGACGCCATTACAATGCAAGCCTGACACACCCCTGCCTTAAACCATGCCAGGGAAGCAGGAAATCGGAGTAATAGCATGGGGCTGAGTTCTTCACGTTATCAGTGAACCAGCTGCTGTTGTTGATAGAAAATACTGAAAAAGTCAGATTGTCAAGGATGGGGTACTTTGCAGAAATACAAGCACTTGGCCTCAAAAGGGCACAAGACCTGGCTGAGAAGAAAAATATATTTTTCTCAAGGGTCCAACGGAGAATCTGTGCTGGAGTGTAGGAAATTTTTCAGGCAGCCTGTAAAGCTTGCTCCTGGATTTGAGGCTTTCCTCCATCCTGGAGCTGCAATTACTAGGGGGAAAGTCAAAGGTAGTATTCAGTATTTCTGGAAAACCGGTAGCAGAAATTTTGAGTAGTTCACAGAACCAGCAAATGCCACCTTTGACTGGCCCCACACCCATCTATTCTCTGCTTCCCAAGTCACAGCTGATCAGCTGGGTCTTCTTTTGTTGCCCTGCACAGGAGAATGGAGCTGGAAAGCAGGTTAGTGGGGTGGGGAGGGAATGGGATTTTGCAGTAACCTTCCCCCAGGAGTGGGGAGGGAATGGAAATTTTACAGTATCCGTTCCCTGCCACACCCACCAAGCCACACTTACAGAACTGGTAGTAAAAAAAAATTGAATCCCACCACTGGGGAAAGCAGATCCCGAGAATACACTCATCATCACAGAGCCAATCCAGCAGCTGAAGAACTTCTCTAGTGTTTCACTATACTGCAAAACTTAATGCTTCTTCTCTTGATAATTATAAACAAAACAAATTATGCAGAAATGGAAAAGATGATAAATTAAGCAAAGTGGTTTGTTTTGCAAAATGTTTATGAGTCACATAATATATTTTCTTGACCCAGAATGTAAATATAGAATATATACATCCCCAGTGAAACAGCATACTGCATTTTTAAAGGCAGAACAACAAGACTAATTCAAATATCTTCTCTAATTCAAAATCGTATGCAGAACTCCTTTTATCTTCTAGCCTTGGCTGCACAGTAGTAAATTGAAGATCAGAACATCACCAACTAGCAGCTTTATTGCATTATGAAATTATATATTAAGATGGGCAAAAATCGTAACTCTTTATACCACCTAGTCAGAGGTGTTATTCAGCAGGTTCTGGCCAGTCTTGGAGAACCAGTAGCGGAAATTTTGAGTAGTTTGGAGAACCAGAAAACACCACCTCTGAGTGGAGATTTTACAGTATCCTTCTCTAGTCATGCCCATCAAGCCATGCCCACAGAACCGGTAGTAAAAGAAAATTGAATCCCACCATTGCACCAAGTCATGAAGAAGGAGCAGTTTCATAAAATTGTTCCCATTACTGGTTCTAGTGTCTCGTATTTCCAATTTTTAAAAATAGGCAATAATTCATCAGGTGCTTAAGGGTATTGTGGAGTTCAACCCAGAATTCTCACTTGGGGCACAAATGCCAATACTCAAATTATTCCATTTTGGATCTACTATGCAAAGACTCAGCAATCTGGAGAAGGCTGTAATACGGAGAAGGGTGGAAGGAAAGCGAAGAAGAAAATAGTCAGAAGCAAGTGGGTGGATTTAAATGCAGTAGTGATCAGCGCACTATTGGAAGGCCTTAATGTTAGAAACAGATTGTCATGGAGGAAATTTGTCTATGACGTTGCAATGGCACATAATCACTATGATATTGGAATAAAACCAGAAATAAATCATTTCCAACTCAGTTGTTCAGTCGCTAGTCATCTGACGGCTGGATTATTGTAATGTGCTCTACAGGAGGCTACCCTTGAAGACACCTGGAAGCTACAGATGGTGCAGAGAGTGGCAGCACAAGCAGTTTGGGGGACCCCAAGAATGGCCCCTGTATCACCACCGCTCTGCAAGCTACCCTCTTTACCAATCTGCTTCTGGGTGCAATTCAAGATGTTGGTGATCACCTTTAAAGCCCTTCATGGATTGGTCCAGGTTACTTGAGGGCCTGTCTCACCCCACTGGGATTGGCCCATACCACTCGTGCAGGTAGAGGATGCATGCTGCGGTTCCTGTCAGCCTGATTATTCTGGCTGGCAGGATCCTGGAGAGGGCCTTCTCTGCTGTTGCTCCTCCCCTCGGGAACATCTTGCCTCCTTTTTATAAGGGCCTAAAGACATGGCTTTTCCTGTCAGCTTCAGACCCCAGCAGAGGAATAGTGCAATTGTGGTGGTTGATTGAGTAATAACAGATCCCAGATCCCTACCCTACTGGCCTCATCCTCCCCATGTGTCTGGTTTTAATGTTTGATTTTAACTTTTTATGTTTTAACTTAGATGTAACGGTAAGTGTTTCATCTAAGTTAAAGTTACACTATAGTAAGATGGGCAGCCAATAAAATTTATAAACAAACAAACAAACAAACTCTAGAGGAAGTACTCATCTCCATTTCTTAGCTGAGGAAGTCATTGTCCGAAGACATTTCCATTGGCCAGCTTGACTATATGCTGAGATGCACAGAATGTTAACTTCCCACCAAGATGGTAACTTATCTACTCATGTTTGCATGCTTTTAAACTGCTAGATGGGCAGGAGCTGAGACAAGTAATGATAACACACCCATGGGACTCAGGTTTCAAACTTGGGCTGTCAGCTTTCCAGCTGACAAGCTCAGCATCTTTAACAGCTGAGCCTTCAGGATCCCTTAAAAACCAGAAATAACCAATTTCAAATCCTCAATTATGAAATTGATCAGGTGACAGCAAATGAATGTGTTTAAGTCACTGTATTTGTAGTCGGCATACTCCTTCCACTTACTTGCTAAAAAAGATAATCTATACTACCATAAACTGTTATTCATATGTCATAAAATGGACACTATACCCCTTTGTGCTACTTCAGATAGTCTGTAGATTGATTGTAAAGGCAAACCACAAAGAGAACATTGGAAGAAGCAGGGGAAAAAGCACTTATAGTAAGACTTGTTCTCAGCTGACCCTGTAGCATTTGAATCTAATGTTTGAATATTCTTGAGCGGATTCTTGGGAAATCCCACTTTAATGGCTGACCTGAACAATGCCAGACATTTACTTTCTTTTCTATGCCAAGGATTTTGTCAGTGTATAAGGTTCATAAATTGGAATGGACATGGTAATAGGTCAGCCATCTGTTTGATGACCCAGACAGCTCGGAGCCTGAGTGTATATATATATATATATATATGTGTGTGTGTGTGTGTGTGTGTGTGTGTGTGTGTGTGTGCGCCTCTGTAATATCTTGCTTTTGTGTTTTTATTGCTTCTGTGATTATTAATTGGATACTTCTGGATTCTTCTGGTTCTGACCTCTGCTGCATAATATTGTATATATGCATCATACTATATACACTGCTCAAAAAAATAAAGGGAACACAAAAATAAGACATCCTAGATCTGAATGAATGAAATATTCTTATTAAATACTTTTTCATTACATAGTTGAATGTGCTTACAACAAAAATCACACAAAAATTATCAATGGAAATCAAATTTAGCAACCCATGGAGATCTGGATTTGGAGTTACACTCAAAATTAAAGTGGAAAAAAACACTACAGGCTGATCCAACTTTGATGTAATGTCTTTAAAACAAGTCAAAATGAGGCTCAGTAGTGTGTGTAGCCTCCATGTGCCTGTATGACCCCCCTACAATGCCTGGCCATGCTCCTGATGAGGTGGTGGATCGTCTCCTGAGGGATCTCCTCCCACACCTGGACTAAAGCATCCCCCAACTCCTGGATAGTCTGTGGTGCAATGTGGCGTTGGTGGATGCAACAAGACATGATGTCCCAGATGTGCTCAATTGAATTCAGGTCTGGGGAATGGGTGAGCCAGTCCATAGCACCAATGCCTTCATCTTGCAGGAACTGCTTACACACTCCAGCCACATGAGGTCTAGCATTGTCTTGCATTAGGAGGAACCCAGGGCCAACCGCACCAGCATATGGTCTCACAAGGGGTCTGAGGACCCTCATACCACCCTCATGGAGTCTGTTTCTGACCGTTTGAGCAGCCACATGCACATTTGTGGCCCACTGGAGATCATTTTGCAGGGCTCTGGTAGTGCTCCTCCTGTCCCTCCTTGCACAAAGGTGGAGGCAGAGGTCCTGATGCTGGGTTGTTGCCCTCCTACGGACGTGGAGGCCGTAGGAGGTACTGGCCTGTCTCCTGGTAGCACCTCCATGCTCTGGACACTATGCTGACAGACACAGCAAACCTTCTTGCCACAGCTTGCATTGATGTGCCATCCTGGATGAGCTGCACTACCCGAGCCACTTGTGTGGGTTGTAGACTCTGTCTCATGCTACCACTAAAGTGAAAGCACCACCCACATTCAAAAGTGACCAAACCATCAGCCAGAAAGCATAGGAACTGAGAAGTGGTCTGTGGTCACCACCTGCAGAACCACTCCTTTATTGGGGATGTCTTGCTAC